GCGATTTTTGACAAAACGAACGTTTGTTTTGAATTTTCCTGATCGTGTAACGTTACACCTGATCTTGAAATTTGATTGGTTGTTTCGGCATTTCACGTGATCTGCGAAATTTTTTTGACTGACATTTTAAGGGTTATTATGCACACTTAAGTTCAGACACAAGTATATATATGACTTTCATAAATGCACTTTTTCTTATTGCTCTCAAGATGCACTAATTAAAGTTCAGTTCCGAGAGTGTATACTTACAAAGGTTTTACTGTACAATCAAATATAGTGAATTCTCCATCAATGCACTCTTTATAAGTGCACGCTTTCTAGATGCATGCTTAAGTTTGGGCCCAAATACAGTAAAACCTCAATAAGTGCACACTTTTGGGACTGAACTTTAATGTCATGAACTTAGAAAACAATAAGAAAGAGTGCATTTATAGAAATCATGGCCCAAATTTAAGCATGTATTTAAAGAGAATATGCTCTCAAGGATGCGCACTTATAGAGGTTTCACTATAAATCCATGACCTTCATAAATGCACATTTTATTATTATTCTCTAAGTGCACGTCATTAAAGTTCAGTCCCAAGGGCATGCACTTATGGAGGTTTTACTGTATACTACACTCATCTCCAACACTCTTTAAGCATCTCAAGAGACTAGTTATTTATATAAAATTATCATTTTCTTTTTAACTAAAAAGGGGTCGTCTAAAGCCATGTACCCACGTGAATTTTTTGTGTAAATCAACAACCCGGAAATTGCGAAATTTTGTTTATACGGATCTGACCGAAGAAGTCAAATAATAAAGAAAACGCAAAAAGACGAAAAACGGCAGTCTAAACCTGTCTTGGGGCACTAATTAAAAATGTCGGAAAGGCAATTTTACCTATACCCTTCTTCTTATATCAACACTAAACTAACCCTAATCCTAACCTTAATTTTAATTAAACCGATTAAAACGTCAAAATTACGTGGGTACATGACTTCTAAGCATTTAAAAATTCGCACATGGACAAACATGATCAAAAATATCAAATAATCTTAAAAACATTTAATAGTAAGCAAACATTATTTAAATACTTTTTTTTGTAAATTATATCAACAATAATAAAAAATCATATTTTCACAACCTCTTAAAGTATTTAACATTATTATAATGATTTATTGAAGTCGAACAAGTGACATTAATTCAAGAAGTTAGATATTATCATTGTTTACTATATTTACATTATACAATAATATCGTTATCATTATGGGAAATTTAAAGTTCCGCGATTAAACCTGTAATGAACCAAATCAATGACTGATTAATGAGCCGGGAAAACTATAGATAAGGTCCCCGCCACACTATGATTCGAAGAGCTCTTTAAAATATATAAATGTCACCGCCAAAAATAATTAATAAAGTCACGTGTTGATTCGCAATAATAAGAATTTTTTGTGATCTTTCCTTGGTTTTATTACAATATTTGGAACAGGTACATATGAATAAGTATCCAAATAGACAATTATATTATGATTCGCATACATATAATTTTTGACTTTTTGGGCGGGGACCTTATATATAGTTTTCCCAGTCCTCATGTGACGCGTATGGTTAGTCAAATCGTTATACTTACTTTTTTTTATATGGCAATTAATTAATGCACCGAATCAGGTCGTGCCAACCCGAAACCCGACCCGTATTGTCGGGTCTGGTCGGGTTCGGGTTAGAAAAAATTTGACCGAAAATTTCGGGTCGGGTTCGGATCGGGTTCGGGCTGGACATTAACCCGATCCAAATGTGAATTATCCAAATTAGAGATGCTCAAAATAAGCATTTTATGAATTTGTTTTTAATTCTAATAGCAAAATACATATCTGTTATTACTATATAGCTTGAGTTTTTTTTAAAGACAGGAGTGTTTAAATTGGTGTATTTGAATTTGATGTTGTAGTAAGATTATATTATTAAAAGCACTTACCGGGTACCAAAATTAATTGCAATTAATTATGCAATTACAATCAACAAAAATTAAAAGTTTTCGACTTTAAAATACTCTAATTTGAAACTGAAAAAAATTAATCTCACCCATCTACAGGTCTAAAAAAAGCCTCTATGTAGCACTTGTTCAAAACTTTGCGTTTATTGAAACCAATTTAAAAATAAAGATTTAGAGTAAATTGCGCAAGTCATTAAAAAAAAAATGCTGTTTAAAATTAACAATAGGTTCTATTATTCATATACAATTATATTAGACCTTTTATAGAAACTATTTAATGGAATACACATAGATAATGTTAGTTAGCATTATATCATTTTCGTATTTAAATTTAAGCATCTGATAAGTAAGGCAAGTAAGGCTCCAGCCCTATGAAATAATATACGTTAAGTTTAATTAAATTTAACATGAAAACGGATAACAGATCCAAGTTCTGCGTACAAACCACCCTACAATCGATATAAAATTAGTAATTCATACTGAATATTCAGGGTAATTATTAGGCGATATGTTGATCTTGACAAAGCAATAATAACAATACGTAAAAAGATTACAGACACCAAAAAAAGCAAAAATTTTATAAAATATATAAAAAATTACTGTAAGAACTTGAAAGAAAACCTTTTATTTATATTTTACCAATTATATTTTATCAAAGATGTTGAGCCTAACTTGAACAAACTCAATATATCAATTAAAAAACAGAATCAAAATTGATTATTCAACTTGTTAGAATACAAGTTGATCCAAAACTTTGCATGATTTGATTAACCAGTAACGACTATAAATGAATACAAATACATGAGACAGTGCAACTTTAATAAAACTTTCAAAAACTCAATTTAAAATTACCTTTAGCTTTAGCAAATCCAATTTGATGATTATCAAAATCAAAAACACTATAAACATTCGACAGAAAGAAAGCGCCAACTAACCAAAATTTACGCGGAAGACCCTTCGGATTTTCCTGGATGGCAGATTGACATAATGGACCTAACATTATTTCTTGTACAACTAACTCTATAGGATTGATTTCATATGCTACACTATTGAATACTAGAGATACTACAGTTTTTGTATCACAAGGAATATACCATAAATAGCCATCAAAATAAGAACCGGGGATGTTATAATGGATATCCTTAACACATGAGGGGTCACCCCAAATATTAGCTGTCCCTAATTAAAATAGTATAAGTTAAAAATTAATAATGTAAATAGAGTTGAAATATTGAAGTATAAAAAGTTCAATCAGAATAAATAAATAAATAAAGTTTACCGGTATCAATGATAGCAGATGAATTAGTAGCACCCATTGAAGCTTTATCGACATAAATATCATCCATCATAATCGCCCAGTATCCCCAAGACCCTAGAAGGTTATCAAGAATATCATTATATACAATTTCACCCACATAAGCATTTGGATCAATGCCACCAATGTTCATAAAATTTTTATCACTATGATCTAATTTGTATCGTCCCAAGTGAAAGGCAACTATAGAATGATCAAGCACGTTTTGATCTTTCATTGATTTAATAACACAAGGAGCTTTAAGTGAACTAAGTTGAGGAAATGCAAGACCTAGAATACCATCTTCTTCAAACACCAAGTTAAGATCATCAACTGTTGCTAATCCAAAAGTTTGATTTGTTACGGTTATTCCACCAAGAGTAACAGTGTCTAGACCTATATAACCGCTGACGGTAGTTGAATCATAGCCATAGTCTATTGTAAAAAGATTTGGATGTGGAGCAGGGACAAAAGTAGGGGACTTTTTTGGATCAAATCTATTATGAATTCCACATTCTGAGAATTTACATTGAATAGCAGGAACCCAAAGATCGCTAGAACCGGTGTCAAAATTTACGGTAAAAGATTGACCACCGATTATTATTAAACCATAATAGCTACAATCTATATAATATTCATTGACTAGAGGTATTGATATAAATGGTTCTTGAGAATCACGCTTTAATAATTTAGAATACTTGTTGATTAACCGTGCCTGTTGTAACTTAAAACGTTTCTTATTTGGAATTGACGTGGATATTTCTCTTTTATAAAGATCAACTTTAAAAACTGTTGGTACAGCATTTATAAATGTGATAGATAGAAATAATTCTATGAACAACGTAAGAACAAAACAACGATAAAGCCTCATTATGATTTAAATTAAAATATAAAATTCGTTATAAAGCATATTTATACTTCTGTACGTACTGTATTGTATTTGGTGCGTATATAAAATGCGCATCGTCATTTTATGGAGAAACGTTAAAGCCCCAAGATTGGTTTAGGGTTACTTTTTTGATGCAATTCCTGTTATCATTATATATAAATATCAAGAATATAATTTATGCGCTATGTAGATCATTAATGAACCGGCTTTAACGGATCCCATTTACAGTAATTCATAGTTAACCGTTAACCGAAAATTATAGTCGTGTACCATTTTAGGATAAATTGTGTTGACACAAAATCGGATTTCCATTTAAAATCAAACATAGACAGGGTCACTAATGATCATCACTAACGTATATTCTACGCATTATCATTAATCACATGTAAACTAGTTTTGTTCTCAACTTTTACCGTTTCGTTAATGGCCTATTAAATTCATAGGCAGGGTCATCACTAATTGCGGATTTTCTAATGGTAATTTTGGTTTTACCTCAGAATCCCGATACTTAAAATCCCGACGCTTAAAATCCCGAAAACAAAACCCTGATAGCATCAAAATTTACTTTCGGATTTTGAACGCTGGGATTCTGGGTATCGGGATTCGAAGGTAAACCGGTAGTTTATTATGTGGGAAGGCCTAATGTAATTGATATTGTAAATCGGACCCCATATTAATATGATTATCGCTATAAATTTTACCAAAATAAAATTACATATATTGAAATAAATAATTAAATAATATGATATTTTTTTTAAATTGAATCTCTAATTAGCTTTATACTGAAATAGAGCTGTTTCTTAATAAAAAAAATATTAATAATCGAAACTAAAACAATAATCAGCGTTCAAAATATTTTTTATAAAAATATTAAAAAAAAAAATAGCTCTATTTCACTGTAGAGCTAGTTTTAAGGTTCGATTTAAAAAAAAAATAGTATTCTACTTAGTTAATTATTTATTTCTATAAATGTAATTTTTATTTAAATACGATTCATCGATACCCATAAAAAATCCGCAATTAGTGATGATCATTAGTG